CACTGTCCTACAGTCCTACAGCTTTAACCCATCAAGCACTGATCGGTTTGTGGGACATGCCCTCCTAGATCAGAACTGTATCTTGGCTGCACCCGACTCTCCGGAGCGTCTCATATGAAACAAGCTCTGCAGCTCAACAGGCTTTCACAAGACCAGCATCCTTGGGAGTCCCAATGGTCAAAGGTCAAAAGCATGCTTCACGATTAAAAAGGCCTTCAAAGAATTATGTTCACGAGTGTCTCAAATAAGACCAACTAACAGTAAACGAGGGAGAGCTGACAAATAGCATAAAAAATACTTTGTTAAAATAAATGTAACAGTAATTCAACTTCCCACAGACACTTCAACTCAAAAGGAACTCAGAGACTCAGGGATAGGGTCTGGTTCATTCCCAAGCTGAAGCACAAGGAGGTTAACATATCTGGCAAGTGGGAGAGCTGGGACTTGAACTAGGAACCTCTTGTGGAGACTGAAAGACTGAAAGCCCCTCAACTGAACCACTGGACCCCCTAGCCTCCTACCTTTCAGCATGACAGGACACAGATGATCATGTGTACAGGCAAGTGGCTATTGCCCATGCAGGACCTAATCAGAGACAGGTCCTTCCCCTGTCACTACTACCTGGTTTGAGTGACAGGCGCCAGAACCAATAAATACACAATCACAACTATCTACACCAGCACCAACTCCTCCCAAAACAATGCCATTACCCCATATCTGGGCTCATTCCTGACACCCTTGGTCCATTCCTACCTTCTATGACTTACAACAGCCATAGTGACAATCCTATTGAAGCACACCCTGAAACCCTTTGTCTGAAAGAAAGAAAGAAATCCTTTGTCAGCTACAACGTCCCACAGGTAGGAGCAGAGGAGAGCCAGGGAAGTCTGAGAACACCCATAATCCCCCCAGCCCAGCTAGTGTCTCCAGCATGTCAGGTAGACTGCGGCTTTGTTACATTTCCTGATGTTCTACCCTAAGCTATACAACACACTTGGCTACGTGACTGGAACTTGAACACCACACAGAAAAGAGCCTCTCCCACGTCTTCATGCGTTTAGTTTTTCCCACATGATGGCTTCAGATGCCCGGATTACTACCGGGCAGCACAGAGAACTGTGGGCGATGGAGAAGACAGACCTGACACTCCTGATCTCACGTCAGTTATTAACTTCACCTTGCTGGGATGGATAAGTGTTCAATAAACTTTGAAGTGAAGTGATCGCATGCTGACTGTACTATACAACAGCAAGCTGGACTGGAAGGCTCGTATTGTCTTGCCTCTGCTGCAAGATGACAGCTGGACACACTGTGCTTCACTGAAGAGCCCAACCTTCTGAACTGACCTAAAAACGCCACTAGGTCCAGTCAGAAACTGGGGACTACAGATGGCTGATCAAACCTGCAAGATCAGGTCTCTCCAAGCTCTCCTGTGCACAAAGTCAATCACTTGACTATCATGGCCGGTTGATTGCCACACAGCCCTTCAAGATGGAATGGAGCTCCTAGGAGGACAAGGAGACACTTTGGTCCACGCTGCCCTCCAGGCTGCGTTACTGACGTTCCAGTGCCCACGACAGTCAGTCTGTAGTGTGACTCTGAGCCTGCCAGTCCTTCCTAAAATGTACCTGAAGGCAGCATGCAAATGCTGACATTACGTGTGACATTACTTGAAACTAGTAGTGTAGAGCTGTTTGCACTTGTCCTCTTTGCATTTGTAATTCACAGCTAGCAGCGTACACACATCACGGCCTCATTTATGGTGCAGCACTTACTATATGTGACTTGGCAATTGGCTTTTCCCATCCCCCTGTTTCTGTGTTAAGCAGATCAGGAGGCCATACAGCCCATCTAGCTTGTTGGGTAGTTCGTAACTAATTGATTCAAGAATTTAATCCAGCCATTTCTTGAATGAAGCCAGGCTATCGGCTTCAACCACATAGCTACGTGGCTTAATCTATACTCCCACCACCCTTTGTGTAAAGAAGTGCCTCCTGCTCGCAGTTCTAAAAGCACTTCCTCCTAGTTTCCACCTGCGTCCTCGGGTGTGTTTACTGCCTATTCTGAACCCGCCTGCTGGGGTGCCTTTGAGGATTCGGAATCGGGTCCCCTCCCAGTTTTCTCTTGGTGCAGCTGTCAGGTTGGGACGGCCCCTGAAGGCCTGGAATGTACCTGGCTGTTCTCCTCTGGCCTGATTGCAGGTGACCACATTTATACACACCACAGCACACTGTGGTGCACACTGCACACTGGGAACAACGTCCTAGTCCTTATCTTAACAGGAGGCCTGTCTCGTCACGCACGGTCACTCCCTCCCTACCGTTCCAGCTCGGAGCGTCTCCTTCGGCCTGCGGCACTCGAGAGGCCGGTGGAGTGGGGAAACGGGATGAGGCCGTGGGAGGATATTTGCACACCGAATGAAAAATAAAGCTACACATGGAATACGACCGGCAGCTGGGGGGGTCTCGCCCCCGCCCTCGCTCTCGCTCTCCCGCGCAGACCCGCAGGCAGGAGGTCCCGGAACCCCGGGCAGAGCTCCGAGATACCGGGGAGGTCGGATCCACTGCGGCGTGGTCTCAGCTTGACCGCCCCCCCTTCTCGCTCTCTATCCTGCCCCCAGACAGCACCCAATCCCAGCCGTCGGCCGCAGGGGCGTACCCCCGTCCCCACGGGGCGCCGCCAAAGCCTCCGGCCCACGCTGCCCTTCACAGGAGCGCGGAAGAGTCGCAGGTGCCAGTCAAAAAGACGGATCAGACTCCCGTTGCACAGCACTGTCATCCATGCCAGGTTTTACCAGCCACAGGCTGTGATGAAGCAGAAAAGCGATCTACTTCCCGCAGTTGTAGCTCCATGCTTGCGGGTGGAAATGGCCTCTATTCAAGGGCACATCCTCACAAAAGCCCCTGCCGGGTGTTAGTCTGTACAACCTGGCATGGATCAAACTGCTGGGCAGCAGAAGGGACACTGCCATCCCCTCAAGGGGCAGACGCCTTCAGGGAATAGGGAACACAGTACTAGGACTACGAAACAGGAATTAGGGACTACAGCACTGGGATTAGGTCAAAGGGCACAAGGATAAGGGAACAAGGGAATGCAGAAGGGCTCAAACTGAGGCACAGCCATTCATAACTCAAATTTAAAAAAATCATACAACACTGGAGATGGAATTCTTCATCGAAGCATCAAAAATAAAAATTGTCTAGAACAGCAGAAGACCCCCCCCCCCCCACACAGAATCCCACAAAATACGCAGCCCTGCCCTCCCCTTACTAAGGTGCAGGATGTCACTGTAATAAAACCATGTGTTCAATTTAACTGAACAACATTAGTAAACAGACACCATTATCCACAAACAACAACAGCTCAGAGATTAAGGAAAGTAGACAGGTATATAAACAGATGCTCTCTCTCTCCTTCTTTCTCTGTCTCTCAGACTGAGTGCAAAGGTTTTACAAAGCATTTGTATCAGCTTTTCCCTCTCAGCCTCTCTTTTAATCATGTTGTCATTATTATCTATAACTAATATATTAATTATGAACAATCTGGTCCCCAAATTAACTGGATAATAAATAGCACTTCCTGCTCAGTCAGAAAGGCAATTTCTAATCTATAAACACTGCAGACATTTGTGCGATATGCATAGTATCTGAGAATCTGAACGGCCATTCATGGCGAGAGGGTTTTAGGCAGAGAGTTCCTTGCAATATAGCCAAGCCAAGTTAAAGAAGCATCGTTTTGCATTTCTATTACAATGTGCCATATCTTTTGCATATTATGATTGTTCAATTTGCATGCATTTCAAATGCTGGTATTTAGTCACTTTGGGCACCCCCTTGTCAAATGCACATTTACAAAGCCCAGCCACATTAAAATGAGCACCCTCCCACTTCAAGACACAAGCCTCTGCACTCTGAGGGAGACACATCAGCTTTTTAAATAACATTATTTATGGCTGATGCTCTCCTTCAGGCTCTGCACGATGCACCAGGACAAGCTATACCAGGCACTGATGTGTTTGTGCCTGCTCCATTTTGTGCTCGGTGTTGCATCGCACTTGCACGCTCCGTCCCTGAAGGCTGAGGCTGCTATTTTAAGGCGGCAGGGGGCTGCTGGGTTCGTCCACAACAACGCACGCTGGCTGAAGGGTCATGCTTTTTAAAACCTTTGCTGAAAGTAAGCAGCCTGTGTCTGTGTCGTTGGCTGTCGGTCAGAGGACTCCCCCGTCGCCCCTGGCTATACACCGCTCTCCCCCGCGCCCCCCCCCTCGCCCGCCCGGGCCCCGCAGCGCCCAACCGAGGCGCACGGCCGCCCGCCGTACCCCGCGAAGGTGGGGCTGATGGGCAGGTACTGGAAGAAGCGGTGTCGGCGGAGGAAGTCCATCCCGAACGGCAGGTCGTAGGACCGCATGCCCTCCAGCTCGGCCGTGCTCTTGCCCGCGCCGCGCTTCAGGCGCCGGATGCCCCGCTCCTCCGGGGAGCCTGGGAGAGAGGGACACGCGGAGTCAGAGACTGAGACAGGAGAGAGAGAGCCTGAGGAGCAGTGAGCCCGTCTCCCAGTGATGCTCCAGATGTTCACATGTAAACATCTTATGAGTGTGTCTTTATTGTAAATAACGTAAAACACAAGTCTACAGACAACTGTATTTGTTATTTGCTTTGGCAACACTGATTTTATTCATCGGTCATGCCAATAAAGCATCATGAATTGAAAAAATTGAACTGAACAGAGAGAGACAAGCCCGACAGGACAGGACAGGACAGGACAGGACAGGACAGGACAGGACAGAGAGCTGGGCTCCGTTACCGGGGATAGTGTTGTCCAGAATAAACGCCACCGAGCCCCCTACAAACATGGCCGTCGTCAGCAGCACATTGAGCACCTGGTCTATCTCCACTATACCTAGGAAGGGGAGAAACAGACTGAGGTTAGAGACTGAGCGCGAGTGTTAAGGTGTGTTCATCTCCGTGACAGGGAATTGCATTTGCTCAGGGAATGGTGGTCGGACTCCTACTGCACAGAAGCAGCTCGATCCGTTCCAGGCTTTATTCTAAACCCCTCAGGACTAAAACAGACCTGCTCTTCTACTGCGGCGCAACCTGTGCGCGCATCTGCCTGGGTCTTTAAAGACCTGAAACGGATCAGAACAGCAGAGCGCCGGGCGTCCCCCCAGACTTCCACCACGGCCGTCCATTCACACCTGTGACCAGCGGGTTCTGTTTCAGGTAGCTGGGCAGCACCAGGCCAAAGAAGATGGAGAAGCCGAGCACGAAGAGGTTCCGGGAGGAGTTCAGATCGATGAACTGGAGGTTCGAGAGGCCCACAGCCGTGATCATCCCTGCACGCGGAAAAGGAGGGGTCACACACGGGCAGTCACGCAGAGACACAAGGACATCAAAACCTCAAAACCTCCTTCACAGCAGCCTTGAAGAAATTCTACAGCCAGAGCTGCAGCTTTGGGAAAATAAGCAAACGAGAGTTTTTGCTGGAAACACACTGTCAGACTCCTTATTACTCCGAGGCAGGAGGCACATCAAACTGGGGAACATCCTAAGTGCTGGAGACAGTGTGGAAACCAAGATGGTAATCACTGGCATTGTGGTGCAATGCAGGGAGTGTCGGGTGTGGGGGGCGGAGCCTCGGATTAAGGGAGACGCATCGCTATGGAAACCACACCTGGCATGAATAAGTGAATGAATGGCAGGTGTAGAAGTGGTTTTCATGGCAACGTGTCTCCCTTAATCCAGGGCTCCGCCCCCCACTCCCGACACTCCCTGCATTGTACCACTGCATCTATCTGGGAGTGCCCTAAAATAAGGCTTTTCTGGGATTATTTACATGGGGCCCGAGAGGACAGATCTGAAAGGAATCTACCCTTTACATTTGAGGTTCTGGATTTTGGCAGGCTGGATTTTCACTTGAGTAGTACTGACAAACATCTTTGTGTGAGTTTTATCTGAAGGTAAAAAGACTATAACAAGAAAGTGGCTTCTCCTGGATTTACCAACATTATGGTACATGTAAATGAAATGTACATCATGGAAAAATTAAATTTCACTTAAATTACAGATGAACAAATTTGTCAAATATGGGTCTAGGTGGATTAAGTACATTAAGCCTGAATTTGTTGAGATACAGAATAACAAACTGGAATTAAGAATCTACATATTCTTTCCCCTCTTCAATCATAAAAATGTATATCTCTCTTATTTCAAAAGTTAGAAGTGAAACAATTGTAAAATATTAAAGGAATAGATAAGAATAGACATTTTCATGTGTGATATATATTGGTACATTTGCATTATAAAAGGATGGTTGTGTAACATCATTGGAAGTTAAAATGGTTTTATCTGATCTCTAAAATACAAAAAGACATCATAAGCAAACGGGTCTCATGCCAGCAGGCGGGAGAGGAGGCAGACGGGGGGCAGATGTTCCTCACCGAAGAGCGTGCAGAAGAGCGCCCCCAGCACGGGGTCAGGCAGGGAGGCGAACAGCGCACTGAACTTGCCCACCAGCCCCAGCAGCAGCATGAGGGCAGCGCCGTACTGGATGACTCTCCGGCTGCCCACCTGCGAGGGGGCAGACACCGTCAGCACAGGGGACTGGCCGAGAGGCCGGCGGGGGGGGGGGGTCAGAGGGCAGGGGGCAGTACCTTGGTGATCCCCAGGACTCCGATGTTGGGGCTGGAGGAGGTCGAGCCGTTCCCGGTCCCAAACAGGCCGTCCAGCACGCAGGACACCCCCTCGATAAATATCCCCCTGAGAGACGGGACGGGGAGAGAGAGGGCTCAGTATGTCACCCGCCACTGGATCCCCAGCCCACGATCGCCCCAGAGGGCAGTCAGGACTGTGGTCTGAGCAGGAGCAGCTGGGGGGTCCTGGTGCTGGGACAGAGGGAGGAGAGCCCTGTGCCCATGGGGGCCCACTTCAACCCCAGGAGAGACTCAGGCTGCAGCTCCACAAGAACGCAGGCTCAGCGCAGTAGCCGTTCGTAACCTCCACAGCGCCCTGGTTATCTCCACCTCGGGTATTTCTGCTCAGGCATTATCTTTTGAGAAAATTTTGAAAGAAACGAGTCCAGTTCTTTAGAGGACCAGCTCGATCAACAGCTCCACACTTACACCTGTGTGTAACCCTTCAGTTCACGACCACCCTTACTCCTGCACCAGCTGCCCCCTGAACGCCAGGGCTCGCAGGTGCAGGCCTGGGAAGAACAGCCCTGAGCCCTTCTCCGTCCTCGGGCACAGATCACATACTTACTAACGTCTCCTGCAGTAAGGGTCTCGTTTGGCTCTCCCCCAGCACCGAGCTCTTCTTAATTAAAATCAGGATTTCAGACGGAGCGGCGGAACCCGTAAAGGCGCTCCCCCAAGTGCCGCCGAGCTCAGCGGCCCCGGGTTCGAGCCTCCCCCCCAGCCAGCTCCGATCCCGTGACGTGTTAAAGAGGAGAGTCTCGGGGGCGGCCACGGCGCGGGGGGGCTCACCGGTTGATGGCGTGGATGGGGGGCGGGGGGGCGCAGGAGAGCCGGGCGCAGGCGTAGTAATCCCCGATGGACTCGATGATGCTGGCGACCACCGCGCTGAACATCCCGATCACTCCGGCCGCCGACACCGTGGGGTAGCCCCACTGGACTGGGGGGGGGCGAGACGCACACAGAGCGCAGGTTAGCATCCTCCCAGCCCACCAAACACAGGGCGGGCGATTCGGGGCCAAACGGCCGGCTCCTGGCCAGGTATCACCTGCCCCGTCACCAGGCAGACTCCCGTTGCACAGCAGTGCAATCCATCCCGGGCTTTACCAGCTACCAGCTGTTGCTGATCAGACTGTAGTTCTCTGCTTATCTACTCAAAATTCATCACAGTGTAAAAATGACTGTAACGACATGATTAGTAATTTAGTCATTAGAATGTGAAAACCTGGAATGGATCAAACAACTGTGGAGTGGGAGTCCAACTGACTTCAATAATACACAGGCCTGCTTCATTTCATTGCCTGATTGAGGGCCACACATAAAACAGAAATAGGGTGTGAGTCTTTTTAAGTACCTGCTTAAAGGGCAGCTGCTTGCTGAATCTGAGTGGAGGGTGTGGACTACTCCCTCTGTCCGTTAAACTGCTGTTTGTGGTTTCTGCTTTAAATGGTCTGAATCTTACAGCTCAAACGTCTTCACAGCACTTTCTGAGGCACTCTTTAATAGAGGGGTGGGCTTCAGCCTTTCAAACTGCTTTAACAAGGCTACAGAGAACGGGTCAGTGTGTGTTTTAAATGAAGGTTAAACCAAATTCCTGAAAAGGACTTTGGTTAGACCTGGGGGCGACAGTGACGGTGAACAGGGTGGGCCGAGACTGAGTGTGGGGCAGTGGTGCAGCCTTTTCAGTGCCTGGACGATAGATGACGTGGGTTCAAGAAATGCACTGTGGGCCTCTTCGCATCGTGATCACACGAACAGAAGCCAGAGCACAAGCACATCCGCAGCACTCAACGGTTTTCTTTTTCGCTTTGTCGTTTCCACTTCTCCGATACTGGGGAGTCCAGAGACGCCCTGGGGGGCTGCATTTCTCACTAGCACAGCGTGCCCTGGCAGACTGATGCTGCAATGACCATTGGGTCACCACTAGGGGCCGCCAAAAGCTGCAGCTGGCTCTACTGTAAGAAGTTACTGTTGGCAGGTCACTCAGGCTGGTTCATTCAAGGACTGTTTATTCTTCACTGGCTGTGATAAGGGTCACGCAGAAAAGTGTGTGCGAACCAGCTGGCAGACAAGCAGAGTAAACAGTGGTGCTTAGCAGGCAGCCTAGAAAGCCTCTGTGATTTTTGTTTTTATTGTTGTGAAGTGTCTGTGCTTCAAGAACAGTCAAGTGAAGAATAAGCCAGGATCCTGGTATATACAGTATATGTCTATAGGTGAGCTCTGACCATTTCAGTCAGTTAATTGGTTGAATTACACCAGGAATGTCCAACTGGTGTCCTTGGGAGCTCAGTTCAGTTTTGTGTCACACAATTTCTAAATGATCTCTAAATCACGTCTGCCCTGTCCCTCACTCGGCCAGCCCAGGCCAGGACAGAAGGTCCCACTAACAGGGCAGAGCAGACATCAGCTGTGGTGTCGAGCAGAACAGAGCAGAAGTGATTCACCACCCCCAGGCCCGAATGGATTGATCCTGTTTCTCCAGAGAGACACATGGGAATATCTACAAACCCTTCACAAGAAGCCTCAGGACAAGGCTTTTTTTAAAAGCACACATGATGCAATAATGTTTTTAGCAGTGTCTGAGCCTACGTGGTGCCCTGTGTTCATCATGCCAGGCAGAGCGTGGGTGAGACTGGCAATCCGGTGTAACTCACAAGGATATGGGATCTTGAACCAGGGAGCCACAGACAGGATGCCCTGTCTTGCATCGGTCCTGGCATAGAATCCGTACTGGTCCTTCTCCGGCGGGAAGACGTCCGTCACCGTGAAGATGAAACACAGCAGCCAGGACACCAGGATGGCCATGATTATCTGGAACACACAGACAGACACAGTCAGACAGGGCAGACCCAACGAGCAGCGCACAGTCAGACAGGGCAGACCCAACGAGCAGCGCACAGTCAGACAGGGCAGGGAGAGAGACAGGCAGAACAAGCAGCAGACACAGACCGACAGGGCAGGTAGAGAGACACAGACCAACATAACGAGCAGCAGGCACAGGCAGTGCAGGGAGAGAGAGAGAGACAGACAAAACGAGCAGTAGACACAGGGCACACACAGTCAGACAGGTCAACAGGCACACACAGTCAGACAGGTACACAGGTGGACAGCTGGACTCACTGGGAACATTTTGAAGAGCTGCAGGCGGTAGGCAGTCCAGCCCTTCTTGGACTTGTACACAGGGAAGGGCAGCTGGACATTGCGGGCATACTGGGAGAACAGCAGGACCAGGAATATCGTCCTGCAGAGAGAGAGAGATATTGAAAGGGACAGCTACAAGAGAAGAATGGACAAACTGGGGAAGAAAAGAGAGCTGAGACAGGTGCAGAGAGAGAAGAATCCAGATCAGAGAGATGACAGAACCCAGGAGGGGGGAAAAGGAGAGGTGGCGAGACACTCGACTGGAAACGGACAGAAAGAGAGAGACGGGGAGGCAGACACTCACAGCATGGCGATGCCCCAGTGCTTGCCTGCCCTCTCCCCTGCAGCCTGGAAGCCGGACAGCCCGATGAGCGCCACCGTGGGCGTGATGGTCAAGGGTCCGATGAACTGCAGCAGCACCCCGGGCAGGCCCAGCAGCCCGATACACACCTCCACCAGAGAGGACACGATGATGGCGCCCTGGATCTGACACAGCAAGAGACTGACTCTCACCTGACCGGACACAAGCACACCACTCTTGCACTTGGGGACAACCGCGCTACATAATGCTCTAACCTCGAGTAACAGGAATTTAAACCCGACACAGAGAGCCGAAGGATGTAACAGGGGAAGAGGCCCGAGACATTTCAAATCCCAGAATTCCCCATACTTGCAACGGAACAATTATCAATCCTGCCGGGAGAGAGGGAGGACTTGCGACAGTTGTGGGAGATCAGGGGGGGCCCGATGCAAGTATTCAACGTCAACCTAGAGGACTTCTTCCACATCAACAGTGAAACACCCAGCCATGAAAACTACAAGGACGTGCACCGACTGTACAGCCGAGAGGCTTGCGGCAGTGTGGAACAAGCCCCACTGCTGTGAAAGGCTGGCGCCGATGCAGAGAGACGCTATAAAGAGGAGAGCACTCTGGGCCGCCCCATGATGTCCTTCTGGTTGCGATCTCGCTCCCCTGCCCCCACTGGGCAGGTTGAGCCTTTACATGGCCAATAAAAGGACAGATGGGGGAAGTTCTCTCTCCATCAGCCCTCTCCTCGTTCCTCCATCCATCCATCTCTCCTCTCCTCTCTCTCCTCATTCCTCCATCCATCTCTCCTCTCCTCTCTCTCCTTATTCCTCCATCCATCTCTCCTCTCCTCTCTCCTCATTCCTCCATCCATCTCTCCTCTCCTCTCTCTCCATTACCCTTCTCCTCATTCTGCCATCCATCTCACCCAGAGCTCTTATGCCACACTCTTTAAATCTCTCCTCCCTCGCTCCGGCACCCTGTCAGTCCCCTCCCTGTTTGGGTGTCTTACCTCCCTGATCCTGGGGTGCCAGATGTGCTCTGTGTGCAGCAGCTCTGTGCTGTTCAGCACTGGGACCTCTGTAAAGACAGGGGGGGGGCAGAGAGAAACCGGTCAGAAAACACACTCTGTAAAAGTATCGGGAGACTACTTTACCAGCAGCCCGGGAGCATGTGTGGGCTCCCAGGAAACCGCTCCCTCCATCTCCCCAAACTCCAGCTATTAAACCCCGAACCGGGGGCACGGGAAGGACCCCTGGGTCTGGATCCAGTTGCTGCGGTTCCCAGAAGCATTATGGGATTTTCCCCCAAAACAGCTGGACGGGATTTCGACAGTCATTCACTTAGAAATAATCCCCCAGTCTAGACGGGAGCCCACACCGAGCCCGGATTTCATCACCAGCTCAGAGGCCTTTACCTGTGGTGTTGCATTTCCATTTCTCCAGAGACAGGATAGCTCGAGCAGGGGCCAGGAACGCAAACGCGCTGGCCTGGAAGAGGGGCAGCCTGGAGAGAGAGCGGGAGACGGGATGAACAAGACGCAGGGAGCAAAAGACGACGCTACAGAAGCTAATTTCACAAAGAACAACTCCTGAAGCCCTGTTCACCTGGGGCGAGACACGGGCAGTTTCTGTCCGAAACGCAGGAAGTTCCAAACGAGAGACGCCTCTAGAAAAAAAGTCAGGGTATCACATTCCACAACACAGCTGGGTAGCCTGTTCCACACTTCCACAACCCTTTGCGTAAAGAAGTGCCCCCCCCCTTCTCATTTTTAAAAGGAGTTCTAAGTAGTTTCGACATGTGTCACCTGGTTTAACAGGCTTTCAGGGCATTTGAGGATTTAGAATACTTGGATCAGAACCTCTCGTAGTGTTCTCGGTTCAAGACTTGAGAGATTCAGTTCTCTTAGCCTGCCAGTGCGTGACGTTCCAGACTTGCACAAGAAGCAGCCCCAGTCTCTGGTGAATCAGTCCCCCCAGAATTAGGACGTCTGGTTCTCAGCTCTCGTGAATGACCATGTAACACTCCTGAAATCTCAGCTCATTAATTGCACCCTCTTCAGTAGGGGTAGAATGGCTGATCATCTCCCCTGATCTGAAACTGGGTGCAACGGTCTCTGAATTCTCCGCAGTTCCCAAACCTGTTTGATCACATTTGCCTTCCCCCAGGAACGAAATTCTTTCTGCTGCGCGCTTGCCGTTACTTCTGCCTTTGATGTAATATTGCCAAGCCCTCCTGTGTTGAGCAAGGGATCTGCTGACATGTGGCATGTCAGGACAAGACAGGGGTTCCTGGGTTCAGTGGCCTGACTCCCAGCTGTTCAAACAGACAGGGCAAACAGCGGCTCATCCTGCTGTGAGAGTGTCGTTCTCACCAGGACAGGCCAGACAGGGAAGGCCATGTCCTCTGAACGCCCCATCCTGAGAGGGGGAGTCTCAAGGAAACAGCATCTCCAGGACCTTTCCAGGTGCCCACAGGGTTGTAGTAAAGTGCACGACAGAAGCACTGCTCTAGTCCTCCAGCAGAGGAATCTTACTCTGTTGGGCCCCTGAGCAAGGCCCTTAACCCCACCTGCTCCAGGGGCTCTGTACAATGGCAGTCCCTGCGCTCTGACCCCAAGCTTCTCTCCCTGTCTGTGTGCCTCATGAAGAGCAAGCTGGGCTATGCGAAAAGATGTAATGCAAGAAATTGTAAAAGGGTAATAAAGTGATGTTATAAAAAAATAAGTCCTCCAGCACGGCCCTGTGGGACCTGCAGTGAGCCAAAAGACAAACGGCTCTGATGGGGGGGGGGGTGCGTTTCTGTCTACAGGTCCTCGTGTCTCCCCATGCAGTGAAGACGTCGCTCCCCTCAGGCACGATGCGCAGAAACACCTGGCATCTCCTTGACCAGTCTGGCAGAAAACGAAACTGAAAATCAAACCACCAGGGGGCGCTGCTATTGTCACTCATTGTCCTCGACGGGCCCCGTGCTTTAAAAGCACCCTGTGCAGCCGAACCTCAGACACAAACCCCGCAGCAGTCAACCACAGCGCTCGCTCACAGTGGCGCCCAATCAAGTTCGGCTCCATCTTTATTATGAAGACCAACACCCTTCACAGGTTTAACACCAGGGCTGTTTTGCAATAGCTTTAACAAAACGTGGTTTGACCTTTTCCTGCGATGATTTTGCACATTCTTTATGGGTGGCAGTCAAGATCTAAGGAGTGCACTTGAGCGGCTTTAGAAAAAGAAGCAGAAGGGAAAAGCCTACAAAAAGTGACTCACTGCAGCCTTATGTACACACTCTTTGTAAACAGACGACGGCCAAAAATGGAGGGAAAGTTCAGCAAAACTTTGACGAGGGAAGGCTGTTGTGGTGTGGCTGACCGACGAGGCTCTTAATCCTAAATGAGCTTTCTACCTCTTGGAGCGGACGTTGGACTTCTCTTTTGTGTCTGTTTCCAGGTGTAAATGTCTGCGATGGAACAAACTCCACCTGCTAAGACGTTTGTAGTTGTGGGGTTCATCCCATTCAGCTTTTACAGGGGGTGGTTCGCAAACAGGAGTAGTTATGTCCTCTCTTCACTGAGGCAATATGTTACACAAAGAGTTGTGGGAGTGTGGAACAAGCTGCCCAGACATGCTGTTGAAGCTCCTAAATGCTGCAGGTAGGGAAGAATTGGCCGAGTGTCTTGGATGAAGCAGCGAAAGGCAACAAGACAGTCTGCAGGACCTCTTCTCAGCTGGGGAACCTTCTTGTCTCTGCTTGTACCTGTTCGGCAGTCGCCCTTACTGCATGCACACCACTGTGGATAACAGTGATAGCAGGGCCCCTGTGTGTGCTGCCACTATGCATGGGATTCCAAGTCCCAAGGTCTCGTTTGTGTACCAGATTCACTGTAGAAACGGGCACAAGACAGTTAACAGTTGACACGCTGGCTGACCTGACCGACAGCGTGGCAGCTTGAGTCACCTACTGACTGACACGGCCCG